CACACAGACAGCCTCTTCCCAATATGCGTTTTTGCAATTTACATATACGCAAAAACGCATAAAAAGTAATAGAAGAAACAAGAAAAATACTTGAAAAGAATGTTTCGATCTATTAAGTCGTATGCGTTTCTGGTCAGTACCACAGCTGTACCTCATCAGCACGACAGTTCCGATGAATTAAAACGGCACGTGTGGCAGATGAATAGTGTTTGTATTTTTTTAGAGAAGTGTTATATTTTTGGTTTTGTGAAATAAATTTCTTGAGGAAGTAAATCTGCGCAGCAGTCACCAGCTAGTGAGATTACATCTCGAATGGCAATTATGCGGCGTTTTTTTTATGGCGCATAAAAATTGTTTGAGTGAGCGTATATTGCGCGGACATTTGTCTAAGCAAGCAGCGCTTTCGGTTTATTGACCAAATTTGAGATTTCTAACAAATGTTTTTGAATATAAGCAGTATTTCGCAGCTGAATTTAGCTAAGTTTAATCCATTGTCGTTTCAAGGTTGCTCGTTCTAAAAGAGAGCTTGCGCATTTTTATGTGTTTAACATTCACTCCAATTGTCGCCATATGAAGCTGTCTTTAAAGCACGCCTAACCTTTTCTTGAAACCTTGCTTCACGCCTTCAACTGTGGTACTGTTCCTCCACCCAACCCCATGCTTCCGCCCATGTCACGCCTCATGGTGTTCAGTCTGTTTATGTTTGCACACCAATTCATTCATTCATACACTTCATCGTTCGACCGAAATTGGTATGTGGCAAGGGAGGGGGACGATGTCGGAAAACGAAGGGGGCGGCTGGAACCATTCTGGATACCAACAACTAGTTTGGTTCAAGGCCATTAATGCCCGTCATGTGTCGCCTCTTTTCTTCATTCGTCCGCCCTTTCCTCTCGCTTTGTCCACCTCTTTTCCCCTTTCAACCTTCTCTTCCACCGCGTTACCCTACCCCCTATCCCTCATTCGAGGGCTATTGATGCTTTTGTGTTGATCACTGTCATTTCCCCTGCATGGATTTCTGGATGTATGCTTGCGTACTACCAGTTCAGTTGTGTGCTGGAACCACAGATCGGATTTTCCATACTGCGCCAATTACCTTTCTCTCATTCATTATTTGCACCCGTGTTCATGTGTGTGTGTTTCGTATTTATGTGCCCGTGTATCTGTGTGCCCGCGTATGTGTCTGCATTATGTATGTTTGTGTATGTATGTGTGTGTTTGTATGGCGATTCCGAAAAATGCAAGTGCCATCTAAGAAATACAGTATCCAGTACCTTGAGTATGCAAAGCTGTCGTTACAACCGACTTTCGACGTTTGGAGTATTATCAAACATCAAAAGTCGTTATCACTTATGAACTGTGCCACCGGTAAATGATAAAGCATATGGGAGAATGTTCCGAGTTTTGTCGGTGAAATCAATTTACGATGCGGTAATGAGAGGTGCTCTGTCGCTCATAAAAAAGTGATTGATGGCAACGTTATCACTCACTTCCGGCAAATGCTGCCATACACTCGTATATCATTCGCACCATTTAGGAGGAGTGCATGCTGCTCAATGAATCATTTTACAGTTTCGAGGCACATT